TTTTACTTCATGTGGCAATATTTTTTTTAAAAAAAAACCTTTCCCATTAAGAGATTGATACAAAAATAGTTCTATGAGCAAATTAAAAAGAAAAAAAATTCTCAAAATAGCTTCTTTTTGGTCTGAAACGCCTGGATTTTAGGCAAAAAGGCACATGGTGGAGGGTGCAGAGCAGGAGGGGTTAGGGTTAAAAATTGCAGCTGCTCTAAAGTGCGTGCGAACCCTATGAGTATTTCCCCCTCATGCTCCAGCCCTAGGGAAGGCAGAATACAGTACGAATACTCAGCGAGCAGGGAGCGCCTTTCACCTGAAGATCTCCAAGCACATTACATAGGAGCCAGTCTCATCATCCTCCCCACTCTTACAGCGAGGAGAACAAAGGCAGTGCCGTGGCGTGACTCACCCCAAGCTCACACAGTGGTGGGAACAGAATCCAAGAGTCTCCCCATCCCCAGAGATCAGCACCACCTCCTGCAAAGTGAGGGGGCAAACCCAAACTGGGATAGAATGTCAGGGTTGGAGGGACCTCAGGAGGTCATCTAGTCCAACCCCCTGCTCAAAGCAGGAGCAAACCCCAGACAGATTTTTGCCCCAGATCCCTAAATGGCCCCCCTCAAGGATTGAACTCACAACCCTGGGTTTAGTAGGCCAATGCTCAAACCACTGAGCTATCCCTCCCCGCAATCTTCTCTCCACGTCACAATCACAGTCTTGCAGGGGTGGGTAGAAATGTGTGGACGGGTCTTTCTTAATAGGAAGCAAGTGGGACGCAGGAGCCTAATCTCCAGCAGGGATGGGTCATGAGAACAAGCCAAACCAGAGACTACTTAGAGCCCTTCACTTTTTAGGGGGTGAGGTGGGGTTTACGGCAGCTCCTGCTACATACCATTCCCTCCTCCAGCCAGGGGGAGGAGGCAACATCCAATGTGACACTAGAACTAACCACAGCAGGGCTCTTGATTTGTGGGCCTTGGACCACCCCTTGCTTGGGCGTGACCCCACAAACCATCTGGCCCCCTTTGGTGGCCAATGCTGCTCTGGTGTCGCTGGAAGGTCGAAGAGGCAGGGAAGGGGTCGGAGCTCCACCCACTCTGGTGGCTGGGTTTTTTTAAGACAAAGCACCAGGGTCACATTTTGGTGGTTGAGAGGCTACAGTTAAAATGGCTCCCCCCTTCAAGAGGCTCTGTCCTGGCACCGACACCCCTGCTAGTCCGTCTCTTCCCCAGAGCTGGGCAAACCGGCTAGATCAAAATGAACCCCTTCCCCCCACGAAAGCTCCTTCCCCCGCCTCCTTCCGGTCCCAGATTGCCATAGGTGAGTGATGCCCATAGGAGGTGGGCAGGGCACTCTTAATGCATGGCAAGCGGAGCCAATTTTCACAGTATGAGGCAGCATTAGGGGCCCCAGGGGAGTGGGAAGGAAAGAGGCATACACAAATCCTTCATGGCACAAGGCACCTCCATGGCCCAAGGCACCTCCATGGCCCGTCTCCCCATTCAGGCAGGCAGAGCGTCACAGCGGGAGGCAGAAGAGATGCCACTTGGAAAGGCCGGGCCAGGGCCTGCTAGGTCTCCTCGTCCCATAGGCACAGCTGCTTCTGCGGCACGTAATAGTCAAAACCGTAGCCCTTCTGGCAGCTGCGGATGCCGCACTTGTAGGAGGAGACCTTGCCGCTGGCATCGCGGCTCTTGCAGTACTTGAGCATGCAGGGGTACCACTCGATGCTCAGCGAGTAGCTGCAGATGCAGGGCTTCCAGCGGTCCAAGCACAGCTTGCAGCGCTGCAGGTCGGGCAGGTCGGCCGACTGGGGCAAGACCTCGAACATGGAGCCATCCACCCCTGTGGGAGGAAAGGGAGAGACAGGCGCATGGCTTAGGACGCTGCCTCCTGCTGTGGCGGGTCGGTGGAGAACCATTAGGAGACAGGCCCATATAGAGGCAGGCAGGCTAGGTGGTTCGGGGGGCTGGGAATAGGCGATGGTGCCTTAGAGGGGAGAAGGCCTAATTCAAATCTGGCCCAGATTATAGGTAGTGACGGAAAGTGACAGGCATCAGCCCCTCTATGAAACGAGGTTTGTGGGGGCTCAGCCCAGTTCCCATTGCCAGGTGTCCACATCACAGAAGCCGGCACTTTAATTAGCACTAATCGCCTTCCCTGCACTTGGCTTACGGCCTCAGCATAAGTCACCGAATGTTCTTCTCATGCCCGGGGACAGGATCTGGTCGTTGTGCCCAGGCAGGTCTAGGATGTGGAACTAGGTGGGGTCGTGGGAGGAGCAGGGTCTCACACTATGGAGATGTGGCCCCAGAAAATAACACGCTCAGCTTGGATTCATTAGAAGAGCAGCATGTGAAAAACAGATGTGTAACAAGTTAACCACTAGTCCTCCCCCAGGCAGCGTGCAAGGGATCTGTGTGCACCAATACTCCAGCTGCACATGCAAGGGATTGACGTGAACCAGATTATCCCCCAACAATGCAGAGGGGGAGATCGTAGTGACTTGCAGACCGGGCCGCACTTTTACCGCTAGCAGGCCCAGTGCGGAAGGAGATTCTTACCTTTCTCCAGCCAAAATTTAACGTCTTCTTCTCGGGTGTAAATAGCCTCTTTGGCCTCTGAGCAGATGTTGTGAATGTGGGGGCTCAGCTGAGCCCCTTTGCTGAAGTTGACCGCTACATCCATGTTGAGATGTTCCAGCCCACGCACCTCCTCCGCCTGCCGCACCGTCTTGGGGTTTTTCTGGCGAGGAGAAAGTTACATCGACTCTAATTCCTGCTGTATTATGGGTAACAAGTATGGTCAGCGTCTTCCTCCCCTCCCCCCCAAATTAGCTTTTTTGGGACATCAGTATTTTATGCAAACCTAAGAAATAAGCATGCAGCTGGCCTGTCTTGTGCTGGGATTCCCAGCTGATCTCCAAGCTACGCCAGAGCTGGGCCTGCCCGGCACTTGAATGAGACTCCAGAGAAATTCCAGGGGCTGCTGGAAGTGCTGGCAATTCAGTAGGTGGCGCTCTTCTCCATGAGATGGCATTGAATAGACACCTCAGTAAGGAGCATGGTGGGTGCTGCCTATTTAGAGGGGGGGCAAAGTGGAGGTCTTGGCCACTCCTGGCCACAGTTGCTCTCCTCCTCCCAGCCTAGGGTTAGGGGCAGCCATTGCTGGTTGGAGCATGCACTGGGAAGTGGTGACTGTTGGCTGGGCCAGTGATCTGAGGCTACTAAATTGGGACCGGTACCTGAAAAGGTTAGGGGCCCTGACTGGCTTTTATCCCTACAGGAAAGCACATAGCCCCAAGAGTAGGGTTACCATTCGTCCGGATTCCCCCGGACATGTCCGGATTTTTGAGCTAAAAATAGCGTCCGGGGGGAATTTGTAAA